GAGACAGGTCTTGATCAACCTCATGACCAACGCCATCAAGTTCACCCAAGGCCGTGAGAAACGCCTGATCACGATGAGGATGACCGCCTCCAAAAACATTACAGAAGTCACGGAGAAGGGCGTCTCCTTTTTCCCAACCCGCAAGGAGGACGTTCAGGCCTTGATTCGAGAGAAGGACTGGGGCACTGGAGAGGAGATCAACCTCCACTTCTCGGTGCAAGATACGGGGCCGGGTTTACGCGAGGACGAGAAGAAGCTCCTATTCCAGCGCTTCTCTCAGGCTTCACCCCGCACCCATGTGCAATACGGCGGATCGGGCCTTGGCCTCTTCATCTCGCGGATGCTGGCCGAGTTACAAGGCGGGCAGATCGGCGTCGTGTCTGAAAAGGGCATTGGCAGCACCTTTGCGTTTTACGTCAAATGCCGCAAGACGCCAACGCCAAGCTCAGAGTCGGCGACTCTTTCGGCGCTCAACCTAGCCCGGCCCCAAAAGAGCGGAGCCGCCCCGGGCCCGTCGACTCTTCCGCCTACAACCCTTCCCAGGCGAGCGTCCTACAAGAAGCCGATCGTCGCAGCGCCGCCGCTTTATGACGTGCTGATTGTGGAAGACAACATTGTGAACCAGAGGGTTTTGCGAAAACAACTCCAGAACTGCGGCAACAACACTCACGTTGCGAATCATGGGGGTGAGGCGCTCGACCAACTCAAAAAGTCTCGGTTTTGGGCCGGCAAAGAAGTCGAAGGATTCGATCTCAGTGTTATTCTCATGGACCTGGAGATGCCGGTTATGGATGGAATGACGTGTGCCAAACGCATTCGTGAACTAGAGCGGGCTGGAACTCTTGTCACGCACATACCCATCATTGCCGTTACGGCTTACGCGCGGCCAGAGCAGATCGAGAGCGCGAAAGCCGCCGGTATCGTAAGTTGTGTTCGGCTTGCCCGCTACGAGCTCCACTGACATTTATTTACAGGACGACGTGATTTCCAAGCCCTTTAGGATACCAGACTTAATGCCCAAGATCGAAGAGTTGGTTTCCAAATACAGAACATCAACCGCTGTACCACCGCTGGCCTCGGTTTAAACAGTACTGGGCTTGGGGGGGAGGGGCTGTTTCTTTCTTGAGCTTTCTAATTGCAAGCTATCATCTTACCAGCATCGGGGGAGCCTGTGGATTTGGATCTCGGACTTGGATTTCCGGGATCGACTTATTTATTCTTCGCCAGCGATAACCTCCCGTTACATCAGACGTATTCGGTAAAGCGGCATTAGACGAACAGACAGAAAGGCGTTCCGGGGGAAGGTTAACTGATCTAAAACAAAACTTACTCGGGAGGGTGAACTGGTTTTTTTCTGGTTATGAGAGTTGCATTTTGTGCGAGCGAGGGAGAGGGGGTGGCAGACAGAGAGAGAGAGGGAAGCACCCGGAAGAACAAGGCTTGGAATACTGCGGGTGGGAAAGCATAAGAACGAAGACGAGTTACGCGTAACGTGCGGGACAAGAGGCCCGACTGAGGAAGGACATCTTAGACGTATCTTTTGGTACTTGCCATTTCAGAGTATCCTAATGTAAAGATACCTTTCTCTGACTGCGCAGCATGGGTTGGTCAGTGCTGAATGGCAATGTGCACATTATGTATGGGCTTTCTTTGGCCATCAAATCGGTGGCCTGAGGCGTAACAATGCAGTGCCCGCAACTTGTCTAGGCCTGGGCAGGCAGGCAGGTCCGTGTCCAAATCAATCGGCACCTATTCCACTCAACAGCTTACGTAACGAAGATTTTTCTCAGATAGCTCCTGAGATTGATCATTGCAGCAAGGAAGCTCATCACTACCACCTTGGACAGACAACGATCGCGGATCTGTCGCCCCCCCAATCCCGCCCAAAATGCACCAGCAGGCTCTGCGATCGGCCGGCAGCCGCATAAAGCCCGACGTTGTCGCCGTCAAGACGTGCATCCGGACCTTTTCCACCACGCAATTGCGCGCCGCAGACGAACCCTCCTCCGACAATAAGGGCAATGGCGGCGCTGCCCCTTCCAAGAGAGGAGCCCTCTCGACCGGACTACAACGATCCCGAGCTGCGGCGAGTGAGATCGGTCAGCTTCTGAGAAGCGGGCCCCGGAGCGGCAGAGCGAGCAACAGTGCCGACAATGCGGGCGGCGGCGGCGCCGCGAATCCCAAAGTCATCGACATCAAGACCCTGCCCAACCGCGGCGGAATCAATTTTGTGAAGGTACCGCAGGGCTTCAGGCGCGGCGGAACGAGCAACGATGCCAACAATGCGGGCGCCGCCGCGAAGCCCAATGTCATCGACATCAAAAGCCTGCCCAACCGCGGCGGCTTCGGCGGAACCAATTTTGTGAAGCCGCCGCAGGGTTTCGGGCGCGGCGGGCGTGGCGGGCGCAGCGGAGGCGGCGGACGCAGCCTCCCCTCAGGATTCTCGTCCGGAGGACCCAGCCGAGGCAGGGCCCCTGGGGGAGGAGCAAGAGGACGTGGAGGCCGCGGCGGCCGCGGCGGCCGAAAGCCCAGAAGAGAGGGCGAGGACGGTGTGAGCGAGGCGGACAGGAGGGCCGACCGCGCCTCGGCGTTCGAGCGTTTCTTCCGCCCCGAGACGGCGGAGGAGCACACCTACGTCCGGGCACGCGACCAGGGGTTCCTTCCTGAGGCCTTCACCCCCTCCGTGAGCATCGAGGGCCTGCTGGGGTTCGCCCCGTCCATGCCGATCGCCAGCGCGTCGTCGACCATCGCCGCGCCGTCCGCCGTCATGCGCTCCCTCCGCGAGGTGGCGGGCGGGCAGCACTACACGCCCGAGCACTGGACCGACACGCAGCGCAAGGAGACGGAGCTTGTGTTCCGCGGCAACGGGACGTACTTCTTCAGCGACCTGGCCGAGAGGGACAAGTTCCTCGGGGACTTGCGGGCGGCGTCTGAGGACGTGCGAGCGGCGCCCAAGGATGATGCGGCGCCCGAGGACGATGCGGCAACGAGCGCCAAGGTCAAGGCCATGCTAGCCGCGAAGGTCGAGGCGGGCGCGAGCCAGGCCGTGCGGGAGTACATCGTCGACCGCGTCGTCAAGGGGCGACACGTGACCCCCCAGTTCGTGGAGCAGGGCAGCCGGGACCCGGTCAGCATGGCGAGGGAGTCGCACCTGGTCAACGAGACGTACAGCCCGGTCGACGGGCGCAAGTTCGACGGCAAGATTGCGGCGCTGGTGGCCAAGGGGAAGCCTGCTGCTGGGGGCAAGACCGCGACTGCTTAAAGACTTTTTTCCGACACGATTGTAACCACAATATACGCACACGCGCGCGCGCGCGCGCAGAGGATGAGCAGAAAACGGGTGGAGTCGGCCGAAGAAGACGAGCATTGTAGGATTAGATAGTGGAGAAGGAGAGAGTTGAAAAGACAAAAAACGTTGTACATTTAGATGCGACAGTCTCTTCTACTGTACACTATAGACCGGACGTTTCCAGACTCCCTCCCCTTCCCCTGCCACACTTTAGGAACAATGGAAGAAAAGATGCCCTCTTTCAAAGGATTCATGTACATGACGCTCCCGCATTCGGGGGGTCTCTCTCTCCGACCATGAGAGGACGGGATAAGCGAGAGTTCGCCAGATGTCAGTCAGCCTCAGCCCTGGATCTTCTTGACGGCCTGCTGCTCCGCCGTGTCGACGACCTTCATCTCCTTGTCCTGCAGCTTCTGCAGCTCCTTATCGGCCCGCCTCTTCAGGTCGGGCACGATGGCCTTGTCCTTCTGCCACTTGGCGTGGGTCTTCTTGCGCCTCTCGGTGACGGCGCGCATCTTCTCCCGCCAGGCCTGGGCGGCGTCCTTGGCGCGGCGGACGACGGCGTCCTTGTTGGTCGCCTCGACCTTGAGGACGAGCTCGAGCTCGTTGTCCGGGTCGCGCTGGGGCTGCTGGTTGAAGTCGGGCGAGGCCTGGACGGCGGCCATGACGGGCTTGGCGTAGTCCTTCTCGTGGAGGAGGAGGGAGACGGTGCGGCCGCCGGGCCGGGGCACGATCTCGGCGAGCTCGCGGAGGGGGTAGGTCGTCGGGTCCTTGCGGCTGGGCTGGACGGCGAGGGCGCCGATGGCGTCCGGGGAGAAGCGGTCGCCGGACTGGAGCAGCTTGAGGACCTCGGTGTGGTGAGCGGCGAGGGACGCGAGGCGCGAGGCGACGTCGGCGAAGTTGAGGGGGTCGGCCGGGTCGGGCTTCGGGTGCTTGGAGCCGGAGAGGTCGTCGTGGTCGGCGTCGTCGACGGCGTGGGAGGTCCGGGAGACGATCTCGGCGGAGTCGTAGGTCGGAGACGGCTTGTTCTTCTTCTTATCCTTCTGAAGGAGGGCCGAGTGCGAGAAGGGATGTGCTGCGAGGGGGGATGCGGCTGTCGTCGTCTTAGTCGGCGCGAGGGTGTTGGACGCCATGATCAGGCGTGCGGCGAGCGGCGCCTGCGCCTGGCTGTGTCTTGGTCAATTGGAGGGTTTCCTTCCCGCGCGGGATCTGGGAGGAGGGAAATACCTTCGCGCATCTGCCAGGATGCCATTGGCGCCCCGGAGGAGAGATCTAGGGGCGCGGAGACCTCGCATGGTGTGCTGTTGCGGTGGTGTTAGTGTTTTGTTAGCGGGAGAGCTGTTGGAGCTCCACGTTTTTGGAACCACTCGGCGTGACATACCGAGCTCGGCCGGTGGGTACCCTGCGAAGCGGGTCATCGGGCGACTAACGGTGCTGCGTCGCTGAATGTTTCATCCCCAGCTTGAACCAACTAATTCAGGTGGAAAAAAAGACACCAGAACGATCAATAGATAATTTGAGTATTTAATGATACTTATTTAAATTTTTTAAAGGCTGTTTTTACCCTCAAGATCTGGAGAGCATCATGTCAAGGGTAGTACATGGATCCTCTCACCCCTACACCATCCCCGCCCGTCTACCAAACCTTTCCGGATCAAGACCACACATACTATATATTCAAGATGATCCAAAAAATGTAACAGAGAACAGCGGTCGATTGGCCCAGTGGTTAAGGCACTTGCTTTACAGTCAATTTCGATTCCGAACGAACTGTACTCGCAAGGGATCGCAGGTTCGATCCCTGCATCGATCACAATTCTTTTCTTTTGAAGTTTTTCATGATGTTGCGCTCCACGGCTTGTCGCGTCACTTACGTACTCTTTTCCGCAATTGACCACTGTTGAGGGAGGAGCATTGGCTGAATGTGCCTACTACCTCTTTCTAAATTACATGGCTGCTTCAACTTAGGCAGTGGTTCCACTCAATTTTTCAGTGGTTCGTTATTTTTGGATGATAGGTGCGAATTGTTAGGCGCATCTTCCGCCCTTAGCACCGCCCTCTGCCAGGCCGGTCGCGCTTTTTCAGAAGCACGCGACGTCAGTAGGCCGTTGACCATTCATCCACCCCTAACTCTCCCGACCCCCCCAACCCCGCCAAACCCGCCAGAATGGAGATCGAGGTCGACAAGGACCTCTTGCGGACGGTCGCGACGGGTGGCCAGATGGACTAGTATGTCGAAAAGAAGAATGTCATTCTCATGCTCAGTTGCTAACCACGAGTTGCAACAGCGGTCTATGGCCCGCCCTATCGCAAGGAATCATCTCGAGGCTAGATAAGGTACGTCCGGCCCGCCCACATCCTCAACCATCCCGCCTTGAAACGACCAGCCCGTCCGAATAACCCCATGGCCGCACATGTTTGGAAACCTTCTGGGTAGGGCGCGCTCACCAATTCGCATTGCGAATGTCTAGATCGCCCATAATGAATTTCCTATTCCGAACTTGCCCACCCCTTCTCAACCAATTAACGCGTCAGGCCAACAACCGCGACTCCTCTCGCCGCTCCCTTCCTCCTCCATCGAACCAGCCAGTAGCCTGCCCTCGTCGCAGGACGCCGATAAAGAGAACAGCAAGCCCAACGTCCCGTCGACGTCGACGGCCCTCGTCGAAAGCGAAGCCGTCAATACCGCTGATGCATCTGCCGCGCCCGCCCTGGGGTCTCTCCCCGCCCAGATCGTCGCCATGCTCGAGGAGATCAAATCCGTCCTGTCGACCTTTCCCAAATACCCACCGCATACGATCCAACGCCTTGCCGAGCTCGTGCTCGAGCCGCGCCGCCATTACCGCCACCTAGCCTCGTACCTGCACGCCGTCGACCGTGTGGTTCACGTCACCAGCGGCGCAAACACCTACCCGCTCCCGCCCGCCATCCCGGACATGTCTACCATGACCCTGATGTCCAACGGCGGCGCCAACGGGCAGGAGAACCCGGCCGCGGCCGTGTCCTGGAGCAACTCGACGAATTCGGTCGCCTCGACTGTCGGCACGGATGAAGCCCTCGGCGGCGCCCTACTAACCCCGATTCCCTGGCTCACCCGCCGTGCGAGCCCGGGGTCCTCCTCGCCGGGCTCTTCCAACGGGGGCGGCCCGGCCGAGATCCGCACCGAGTCGACGGAGACCATTGACGGTCCTAACGGCGTCGGCAGCATCGAGACGGTCAGCGTCAGCGTTAATGGCATACCGTCCATGGGTGCGAGCAGTAGCAACCGCGCGATAACACAAGGTGAGTTACTGCGGCAGGAGCAGGAGCAGGGCGTCGTTCCAGTCAACCAACTAGTGCGACAAGCAGAAGAAGCACAGCATGCCGCAGCCCTGCGGAGCGGGGACGACGGTAGAGCCGCCAGCCCCGAGCAGCAGGAACAGGAGCAGCAGGAGGAGCAGGAGTATACCACCGGCGCCGCCGAAGAAGAGAACGAGGTTCCGCATGCTCGCGGACCCGAGGAGATTGGTGTCGGCGACCTCGGCCCGCAGAGCGAGACGACGAGTTTCATCAGCGGCGGACTCGTCCTCGAGATGCAGGGCATCGACGTCGAGGCTGCCGTGGGCCGGAAGGCCGAGCAGACGCACGCCACGTCCCCGCTCCAGGATGGGGAGAAGGAGAACACCGCCGCAGCCGCCGAGGGGGAGAGATCTGCCGAGGCAGCCGTCGACGACGCTGCGTCCGATACGAGCGCCACGTCTCATCCGAAGCGCGACGCTGACGAAGAGCTCGACGGCCTCGCGAGCAAGAAGGTCAAGGAGCACGAGGGCGACGTGGCCGGGAGCGCGCCAGAAGCCGCCACGGCTGATCCGTCGGGGAAGGAGGAGGAGGAGGGCAAGGCGGCGGAGGACGAGACCGTGACGGCTGGGTCCGAGACAGGAGACACCGAGGGGAAGGCCGAGGACAGCAAAGGCGGCGTGACGGCCGAGACCGCAGCGGCTGAGCCCGAGGCGAAGACGGAGACCGCCGCGGCGGACAGTTGAGGAGGGGTACGTCGTCGCGCATTCGATGTTTTACTAGAGGAGGTGTCGTCACTTTACGTGTTAGGGGAGAAGCTATGATACCATGAAACGCTCCCACCTGATTGATACTCGCCAAAGTCCCCTGTTCCTATCGAGCTCGTTCCCGAATCGCCGAGTGTTGTGGGTATTCGTTGACGCGTTGGGTACAAATGCACGTGGCGGAAACGATCATGGAACGCGATTCAACTTACTTACCCCTCATGGCTTGGGACCTGAGGTGTTAGGACACAAAACATCACAAACTGCGTGAAAGTGAGAGAGAGGATTGCCAATCGATGAGGTATCATTGCGTAAGGCTCAAATGCTGAGATGTTGGCACAAGCGGCCCTCTCCACTAACTACAGGAGCAGCTAGATATGTGGCATTGAAGGCAGAAGAAACAAACAAACAAACAAACCCCCCTCCGTTTCAGACGCCATGCTTGCCATAATCCACATCGTGAAAGCGAGCCCGCAGATTCCCAATCGCCAACCCAACGCCCGCGCACAGCTTGTCGTGTGATGCTTTACAAAACCCTCGTGATGCTTTCCTTCGTAATGACGCTGTTCTGCTTGTCGTCCCTCCGCACGCGGAAGAAGCTGTCGCAAAAGTCGCTGCAGCGCATGTGCCGCAAGAACTCTTCGTCGTGAGTGATGACGATGAGCTGGAAGTTGCTCTGGGCCTGACGGGCCTTGATGATGGCGTGCAGACTCTCGGCAAGGCTCTTGATGTTGTCCTTGTCCAGGTTGGTCGTCGGCTCGTCGAGAGCAATGAGGCCGCAGTTGACGCCGAAGCTTTCGGCCAAGGCGAGGCGGATGATGATGCTGGCGAGCACCTTCTGACCCGCCGAGCAGCGGCCGCGCATGTCCATCTCCGTGTCTTGTTTGACCATGCAGACGCGGTAGTTGTACGAGCGCCGGCCCGTCGTCGCGTTTTCGTTGTCGGAGCGGATGAGAATCGTGTCAATGTCGGTGCCCTGATACGTGCTCTGCCACAGCTCGCCGGCGATACGATTGACCTCCTCCATCTTGAGACTATGATACCGCATGATGGCCGTGTCCAGTGCCGAGATGTACCGGGCCAAATCTTCGATAGCTGCCTTGGTCGTCTCGACCTTGATGTGCGACTCGCGGTACTTCTTGGCGGCGCTCTTGTACTCTTGCTCCCACTCGAGTAGGAGCCGCTCGAGTTCCTCGTCCTTGGTCTTCATCTGGCCCATGATGGAGCCGCGGTCGGCAACCAGCCGATTGTGGCGGTTCTCCAGCTGTTTCGCTTCAGTGATCAGCGTCCTGTAGTCCTCGTCGGCGTCACGGGACTCCAGCTCCTCGATGTCTCGACGAAGGATCTCGAGCTGCTGCAGGTTCTGGCGGTACTTTAGGTTGTTGCTGATGTTCTGCTTCTTGCGGTCGCCGTTGTCAATGTCCTGCTTCAGCTTGTTGGTTCGCACAGTCAAGTCCGAAATTTCCTTGTCCAGCGAAGCAATCGACTTCTCGAGACTAGCGATGGCTCGCTGGTTCGCCGCCAGATTGGAAGGGCCGCCGCGGTCAATGTAGTCTTGGATGTCGTTCTCGACCATCTTCAGCTCTGTGACTGAGTCGGCAACTTTATCTCGCTCTTCGGCAATAGCCTGCTCCTTTGCACGACCGCGCTGCAAGGTGTCGTCTCGGACTGATCTGGCCTCGGCGATCTCGGGCTCAATGGACTCCAGTTCCTGATCAGCTCGGCTGATCAAATCTCGCTGATGGAGTTGATCCTCCTTCAGGGTCTGGATCTGATTCTGAAAGTCCTTCTTGCGCTCCAGTTGGTTGAGTGCCTTGCTCAGATTATTCCGGAGCTCACTCTTCTCCAGTTCAAGTGAGTTGATCTGGTCCTTCATCCGTTGGCGATCCGACGTCGTCTTGGAGATCTTGTTCTTCATCGATCTGATTTGCTCGTTGCAAGATGCTTGGAGCTCGTGGATCTCGTCAGCGCTTCTGCTGACCGTACCGGACGACTGTTGAGTCATGATCCTGTCGACCTGCGCCTCGGAGTCCTTGATGTCCTTAAGGGCTTGGGTGATGTTGATGACCGTCTTGTTGAGAGACTCGATATCGGTCAGCTTGCCTTCCTCGGCACTGACTATGGCATCGTGCTCCTCCAGTTGCCGATCCAGAGCTTCGCCTTCAGACTCGAGAGAAGCAATCTCTTCCTTCACAGAAGGGAGCTCTATCATCAGTCTCTGGTACGTCTCGTACTGCGCCTTGACCTTGCGCAGGGAATCAAGCAGGGCAGTAGAGTTGGCCAGATCCTCCTCCGCCTTCTCCTTCTTGTTGAGATCAAGGAACTTGATCAGCTTGTCTGAGAACCGAGACTTGGAGACATTCGATTTGTCATCGAAGCTGCGGTCGCAAAGTCGGCACTTGTTCTTCTCCAGCAGAGTCTTCTGGCAGCCGCGGTAGTAGTCTGCCAGGGCGTCCAAAAGGCTGATGTCAGTGGTGTACGTTTCCACGTCCTCTTCATGCATTTTGACTTCTTCCTCGTAGTCATCGATGGTCGCACCGTCTCGTACCGCCTGCAAGGCACCAACGACGGCACTACGGCAACGCTGTGCTTCATCTGATTTCTTGGCGCCGGCATCTTTGGCACTCTTCAGTCTAAAGTCAACCTTCTGCTGCTTGTCCCTCACCGAATCCCGCTTCTGGCGAGCTTCGGCGACAAGCTTGTGCTGGCGCTTCAAGGCCTCGTGGAACTGGGCTTCCAGAGTGTCTGTCTGCCATGTGGTGCCGACGTGCGT